ACTTAGCATGAGAGAGAAGGTGATAATAATGAGGTTATATAATAATAATGTGAGGCAAAATGTTGTTGATGTCAAATGAATGAGCCAGTATAACTGCAGCTCTCCGATCTGAAATGCTGCGTGTTCATCAGCCATCAGCGGGAATGTTGTGACCTTCTGTGTGACAGGAGAAGCCAGCTCAGCGATTTTCCCTAACGGAATTACAATCATCATCCGCATGAGTGGAATCTGTTCCCCCCGCTCCAATAAATCACACACACACAAACACACATCACAATCGAACTGCAGATGAAATTACATTGACAAGCACTTTTAATAAAAAGTCTTGTCTCTATATTCTTGAACAGGATTTGGTTATTAAAGTCTTGAATTCTGCACACTAGTGTTTTGAGTGGTTGCCAGGGTGTTGCTATGCAGTTGCTACAGCAGGGTTCCAAAATACTTTGCTGTTGCTAGGCAGTTGCTAAGTGTTCTTCAGATCAGTGTTTTCCAGTAATTTATGGGTTCTTTTAAGCACCAGTACAGTCAAAACAATATGTAGGCCTAAATTTAACATTTATGTATTAGAATTGCATATAAAATGACCTTCCATTAGGATTGCAGTTTTAAAATAAACAAAAATGGCCCAATAAACTTAATGTTATGCTTATTTGTCAGTCATACACGAGAAACAGGTATGATTTCTCGAATAGAAATCGAGTTTTAAATAAAGCATGTTTGTTTTTTGATCAATAAATCCAACTTGCTTCAATCTCATACATTTTAATAGCTAACTGAACATTGCCATCTTCATACTTTTTAACTGAATACATGTAATCGTTTTCAGAGATTTATGCTGATTCTAAGCTATTTGAATATAGGCATTTTGAAAATATGATTATTTCCCAAACTTTTTTGTCAGCCAACCCCATTTGATCTAAAATATTTATTTAAAGTCCCTCTGAGATTTTAAGTAAATATTTCAATAATTTAACGACACATATTTATATGTTAATGGTCACATGACATCAAAGTCAAAGTGATTAGTTTTGATTTTTTTTACATGTTTATGATTAAATGAATTATTATTGCAGTTCAGAGGTTAAGTGAACCCCAGTTTAAACTATAAGCTCTTTGTGAAACTTTAAAATCTTCTCATATGGCATGAGGTAATAAAACTTGTGTTGGTTTTAAATGGAACATTTTTAAGAGTTTATGACTAGTAAACGCGCACGCACACACACACATCCACTTGCCTTGAATAAGCAGACGAAAACACATAGAGTTGTCATCTTTGTGAAGTGTTTTTCCTGCCCATTACGAGCGGCTCAAGCTGTGCGTGTTTATCTGAATATGTTCTCATGTTCTTTAAACGACTCCTGAGCGTTAATGGAGCGAATATAGAAGTGAAACCGCAAGACGTACGGTAATGACCTGTTACACATCCATCGCAATGACAACAAACATCTCAGGCGGAGGGATGATGTTTTCAGCTCGGGTTATATTACAAAGCAATGAGTTTTATAATACTATGAGTGGATGAAATAGTTGATGTGCACATGTGAACTGTGAACAGCCTAAAGTCAGACTATATTACTCTCTAGACGAATAGCTATTCTGATTACCCTTAAAGGAATAGTTCACCCAAAAATGAACATTTGCTGAAATGTGCTCACCCTCAGGCCATCCAAGATGTAGTTGAGTTTGTTTCTTAATTAGATTTGGAGAAATGTAGCATCCATCACTTGCTCAGCAATGGATGATCTGCAGTGAATGGGTTCCGTCAGAATGAGAGTCCAAACAGCTGATAAAAACATCACAATAATCCACAAGTACTCCACACCACTCCAGTTCATCAGTTAACATCTTGAGATGCTAAAGAAAAAATCCATCATTAAGACGATTTAACTTCAAACTGTTGCTTCTGGCTAAAATATGAGTTCTCTAGCCATAATAACGTTTACTAGCAACTTCTGAGTGAAAATTGTTTCAAAGCCAGTTTTCTTTTTAGTGCACATTTCTTCCCAATTATCCTGTTTTACTCTGGAAAATGTGTTGCAAATACTGTTGACAAATGCCGTAGTTCTTTAGTAGAAGTAGTTTTTGATTGTTAAAATAGCTTTTTTAGAGTCATAATCTGACTGCACAGATGTAATCTAATGCTAATCTATGATAAAAGATGTAGTCTAAAAGATAAGCACACTATTAGCTAAGTAAAGCTGAAGTTTTCTACATTCGCTGTGACCCGCCGGCAGGTTGCACTCCTGTACTGTCGTCTCTCTCCGTCTTTCTTTGTCTCTGTGCATTTCTAGTCTTTATGTCTCTCAGGGGCTTTAACAAAGTATCTCATACATTCTGTTCCTCTTGGACACGCCGACTGATCATAAAAATAAGAGAGAGATGACAGGGATTTACGAGACTAGCAGGTACGCGACGCTCCGCTGTGTCTGTTCTTATGATGAACGCGCTTGTGTCTTTCTAGGCTTGTTATTTCTCTCTCTCTCCAGCTGTCACTCGTTCATCACAGATGATTTCCTGTCCCAGCAGACACGTGCACAGACTTTACACTCTCTGATCTTTGATTGACAGCTGTCAGTCATATTCCAAGCACCTCCTGAGAAGAGCAAACCTGCTCAAGCACTTCCTGTGGTGGGAGGGGCCACACGGCTCCTGGTGCAATCAGGTTTAGTGGAGAACAAAATGAATGTTTTAAACTTAGTGTCTCAAACTGTGTATATATACATACACACACACATTTATTTATATAATTACAAATAAGTGTATTTATTTGTATGTATGTATATATATATATACGCACACACACACACACACACACGTTTAATTCATTTGAAGCAGTAGTCGACTAATCGCACGTTTATTAATAAACCATTTAAATCATATGGCCCTTTAATTGCGTACATAGCCTAATAAGCACATGTGGCATAAAGCTTGACGAGACGGCAGAAAGCGCATCCTGTTCGCTTCCATTATTTTACAAAAGCGCAATGTTTTGTTGTCTATCTATCTATCTATCTATCGGTCTGTCTATCTATCGGTCTGTCTATCTGTCTATCTATCTATTATCTTTCCAGTTTATGTATTTATATGTGTATTTATATATGTATTTATAGATTTATATAAATGAAACATCTGAGATCTTCATTTAGTCTCTAAAGCTTTGGGCAGGATCATGTTTATGGATGAACCAGAGAATGTTTTGTGCTCTTGGATACACATTAAGTCGAATATCAAGGAAATCAAAGCTGAATGTTCATTTCTTCTCTTTGTGTTCATTCTTTTGGCTTTCGTTTCTCTGCATTAGCATAAAGCATAATGCTGGGAGACGAGCAGTCGTTAAAGTCGTGTAGCCGCGAGCAGCCGTAAGAGACTGAGACAGAATTAAACCTGTGTTTTTAGTGATAAAGAAAGTAAAAGATGTGCTTCCTTTTTAGGGGCATGAAACACAAACGAGGATCATCGGTTCTCGTATCCAAAACTCCTGACAACAAAATGCATAATGCTTGAAAATATAAAAGTATATTATAAAGCGTTTCACTGAACTATTGCTTAATATGATATAATGCATACAACATGACGATTTAACACAAAAGTGTGGATGTTAATGATGTGTTTTTAATGCATTTTAATTAAGGACTGTGCTTTAAAGCTACAGTTCATAGGAACAGGCAACTGATTATTAGTCGTTATGAATGCATTGGAATGTCTGTGTAATGCATTATATACACCGGCTTGTGGTTGCAGTGTCAGCATAAGGTCTGTTCGGGCTAATGAACACATATGATGTGTGTTGTAGTCGACAGCGCTCTGATGACCCACACGCCGCGAGCAGCTGAAATGTGTGTGTGTTCTTGGATGGTAGCCCATTACAGCCTGATGGAGGTACAGATATTATAGAGCCATGAGCCTCTTTCAGTAAAAGACCAGACACTAATGATATTAAAAGACAAGACATGCGGTCACAGAGGCCCGAGCGCTTTTCAACATCGTTTTCCAGCCTGTATAAATTCTGCTGTTATTTATGGCTGCTCTATGAGGTCAGGCATTTGGAGATAAGCAGATATATATACACACACACACACACACACACATCTTATTTATATTACATATTTATATATATAAAATATTATATTTCCATTTTATTTTAATTGAAATTTTTTATTTGAACATTAAAAATAGAAAACTATATATTTTTCCAAATAATTTTTTTAATTTTTATTTAATATATTTACATTTTCAGAATTTTTCCTGATGGAAATGTACAAATTAATCTTTATTCTATATTTCTATATATTTTTATATATCATCTCTATCCTTTATTTATATATAGAGAGATAAGTGTGTGTTTTCTCTACAGTTTAAATGTTTGTGGTTGGTAAGATTTTTTTAATGTTTTTGAACAAAGTCTCTTAATGCTCACCAAGGCTGCATTTATTTGATCAAAAATACAGTAAAATGTTAAATAATATTACAATTTAAAATAACTGTTCTCTACGTCAATATATGTTAAAATGTAATTTATTGTTGTGATCAAAGCTGAATTTTTACTCCAGTCTTCAGTGTCACATGATCCTTCAGAAATCATTCTAATATACTGATTCGCTATTGAAGGAACATTTCTGACTATTATCAATGTTGAACCATTGTGCTGCTTCATATTTTTGTGATACATTTTATTTTTCAGGACTCTTTAATGAATAGAAAGTTCAAAAGAACAGCATTTATTTGAAATAGAAATCTTTTGTAACATTAAAAATGTCTTTACTAGCACTTTTTATCTTATTGACCCCAAACTTTTATATACTGTATATTCTATATATTTTATATTTTATTACATATAGCATTTATATGTAATTTATACGTAACTTAGATGAAAATAGAAGGGAAAAGCACAAAAAAAAAAATGTTTTTGAACATATACTATGGCACTTTTTGTAATCGTTCAGTACTATGGTATCACCGTCTCTCTCTCTCTCTCACTTCCTGTGGCTGATTTCCTCCAGAGCTGAAGGCTTTGAGTTTTCCTGTAGTGATCCTGCAGTCCACAGACCTCTGGAGATTCCTGTGGGTGAATCTGCAGCATTAGCGTGATCATGAGCGTGTGTGTGTGGCCCTGGGCTCCGTGTCAAACACCTCCACTTCATCACAGATGCTCTTCTGACCCCAGACACCGTCAGGAACTCACCTGTTCCTCAACTGTTGCTTTGAGCTCTGTGTCACGTCTGCTGGATGAAATCAGTACGTGTTTCTTACTCATTTTGAGCTGCTGATTACAAAAATACTGGCTGTTTCACACTTTCTCACAAAATATGATGCATTTCGTAGCATTTTTGCTTTCGATGACCATTTGTTTGGTGAAGGAGTCTTGTTTTCTTCCTTAATCAGCAGAAAAACAGCCATAAACACATAATTCTGAATCTGAGCCAGATTACAACTGTTTGTTCAATTCTCAGCCCATTTTCACATGCATGACTTTTTTTTCATTTTATTTTATTTTATTTTATACCTAATCCTGATTTGAAGGATATGATTATGGCCAGTGACAGAAGAAAACATGAACCAGATGTTTTCTACTACATCTGTGAGTGTTTTACTGCATCCAAACAGTGGCAGAAAATTACAGATTTTATGGGGAAAAAATATTTATTCAAAAAACTTTATGAATTTTTTTTTTACATTAAATGGAGTATTTGAACATGTTTTCCCACTACTTTGTAAGTTAAATTAGATATTTTGAATACTTATTTAAAAAAAAATTTTTACAACTTTTTAACATTTGACTGCTTTTTTATCACGCAATTATGAGAAAAAAAGTCAGAATTGCGAGTTTGTGTCACGCAATTATGAGAAAAAAAGTCAGAATTGTGAGATAAAAAGTCACAATTACCAATTGCGAGTTAAAGTCCAATTTTGAGGGGGGGGGGACTGTGATATGTTAGTCTTAGAAATAAAGTCAGAACTGCAAGAAAAAAAGTCAGAATTGCGAGATATAAACTCGCAATTCTGACTTTTTTTCTTGCAGTTCACGCAATTATGAGAAAAAAAGTCAGAATTGCGAGTTTGTGTCACGCAATTATGAGAAAAAAAGTCAGAATTGTGAGCTAAAAAGTCGCAATTACCTTTTTTATTTTTTATTCAGTGGCAGAAACGGGCTTCCATACTAATCATATTTAAAACACAACAGGAAACATGATTCCTCCTTCATATGTGTGTCTGTGGGGTTTTTCTGGTCCAGCAGGTGAAGATCTTGCTCTGATCATCACACCTCAGCTCAACACGTTTGAGCCGCACTGAATTAGCATCTTCCATCCGTCTCTCTGGAATCAGAACGTTCCCTCATGCCTGGTTGCCATGGAGATCTTTTTGGTCTTCAGTACGGAGCTACTTGTTGATGCCCTCATGAAAACGGTAAACAGTTTTTGTTGTTAATTGTTCACTCAGATTATTTTGAACATTGATCGTCAGTGAAAACCGAAGATAGTTGTTTTCATGAAGCATTTGAAACTGATATCAACCGAGGTGTGTGTGTGTGTGTGTGTGTGTGTTGTCATCTGCTAATGGATGAGGAGAGAGTGAAAGAGGGAATAAAATCCTGATAGAAACAGGAGAATTTTAATGCTCAGACTCTGCTCTTTTATAATACACTGGGTTTTAATGGAAATTCTTAGTCATGCTTCATTCAAGTATCAATTTCTCAGATGTTTCTTCTAAAATTCCTTAAGAAGATTATAAAAATAAACACAAATGAGTCACTACACTCAACAAAAATGGATTTTGAAACAATTGTCTACTATTATTTCAAATTTATTTCACAGGTTAAACAAAGAAACTGAAAATAACATGACATTTTGAAGTAGAAAATGAAATGGTAATTTGAAGAGTGCTTTCTTGTAGATATTCTCCAATAATCTTTTTCATTTACAACCTTGAAAAATGGTGTAGGATTTATATTGAAATGGTTATATAGGTAACTTAAAAAAAAACATTAAAAAGTTTTGTTTCTTGAAATAAAAAGCTTAACTGCATTAAAAAAATCTAAAAACTTTTTTTTTTCATTTACATTTAGTTTATCTTGAATAGAACTGGAATAACAATGAATAAAAACTATATAGACATATTTTAAAAGTGTAATAATAATGACAAAAACAAACACCAAAATTCCTAAAACTTTATCTAAAATAAAATGAAAACAGAAAATATAAAATTAAAAACGAATTCAAAATATTAATAAAAACTATAATAGTACAACACTGTTTTGAAACTATTTTCACTCAGAAATGAAAAGAAATGGCAAGTAACATTGAATTAAACATGACATTTTGAAGTTAAAAGACTGACAGTATTTTCTTGTAAATACTTCAATAATCTTTTATAACTTTGAAAAACAACATTTTTCACCATTCAATCTCACGAGAACAACATTTGTTGTGTTGTGTTAGATGGTTGCTAGTGTTGTTTAGTGTGTTTCTATGCAGTTGTTGTATGTTGTTTGCTAAATGGTTCCTTTCTGCGGTCACATCAATAATCTTAGTTATGAGCAATAATGATGCAAACACATTTTTTTCCAGCATGTTTATTTTTGGCGTCCACTATTAGACTCTTAGCAACAGAAATAACAGATTGCATGTTGAAGAAACAGGCCCCGTCTGCTCTGATATTTCCCTCGTCTGAGTCACGCTTTGCTCTTTTATGCCGTGCATTAACAGAAGCGGTCCTCACCTGCTGAGAACAGCAGCACTGTGTGGATGTGAGGAGACGAAGAGTTCACTTTCTCCTGTGGTCATCATGACTCCTCAGCAGCCCACGCACATCAGATAAAGCGCTTCAAATGCACATCCTGGCCGTGGGAATTTTCTTTTGATGAAAGTATGTTTAGTGCGTTGTGGCATCACAATCGCCAGCGGCAGCGCGTCGCTCAAACACACCGTGAACACAGTGCACTTCAACATCTGCTTGCTTTTCTGTCTCACTTATTTCTCATTCCCTCTGTCTGTTTTTTCCCTCAGGCTCTCCATTTCTCGCAGTAAGACTGACTTGCACTGTAAAAATGATTTTTGTAAAACAAAGATTATTGTAGTATTTTTTACAAGATGCATGTTGTTTGCACCAGGGTTGCTATAGTTAACTAAAACTAAAACCATAAAAAACATTTTACTTGAAATAAACAATACTTGCAATAAAATACATGTTAACTGAAATAAAATATAAACAGAAATATTTTAATTCAGCTAGTTCCCAAGAACACAAAATTACTAAATCTACAACTGAAATAAAAACATAAACATGAACTCAAATGATTTACTACACTGAGCAAAAATGTACTTTGAAACAGATTATTTTTTAACTTACTTCACAAATAATTGCATAGAAACTGCAAAATAACACTGAATTAAACATTGAATTAGAAAGTAGAAAAGACTGAAATTGTAATTGAATTTTTCTTGTAAACATACTCCAATAATCTTTGTTTTCCTTACAAGAAACATTATTTTTGATGTACTGAAATAAAACTAAAACTGAAATAAAATTAATAAAAACTATATAGGCATAAAAATATAAATATAATAATATCTATATAAAAAGATAAATTAATAAAAATGTCAAACACACAGCTAAATTACTCAAACTTTAATTAAAATCAAAATGAAACAGAAAATATAAAATGAGAAATAAATTCAAACTATAATAGTAACACTGTTTTGGAACAATTAAAAAAGAATAAAAAATGTCAAAAACTAAAATGAAAATAAAAACAGAAAATATTAAAATAAAAACTAATTGAAACTATTAATAAAAAACTATATTATCTCAATTATACTAAAATAACACTGGTATGAAATATAAGACATGATGTTAGAAGTAACAAAACAAACAAAAGCTGATGAACAAATGAGGTTAGCATGTTTTTCACAATGCGTACTGGTCATATTCAGGCTTGTCTATCCATCATTAAGAGTGTTTGTGTGTCTGTGATCTGGTCATTATTCACACGAATGAGGGTTTTGATGGATAATATCATCTGTTGTGTTGCAGCCATATTGATCAGCGTTTCTTGCTCATTCCAGCACAGATTCATCGCCAAGTAGGTCACCAACACGCCTCCATGTTCCTAATAAATGAATAATATCTTTAGAGTATAAAAAAACACTTGATATTAATGACTGTCTGAAGATGCCATTGTTTTTATCTGGCAGTTCCTCGTTTTTGTTTCCTGTTCTGTGTTTATGTAATTAAAGGATTTGTTTTTCTTTTAAAATATATAATGTAATCATCCTCAAGTCACCAAAACCTCTCTTTATTCCACATAAAAATGATTTTGTCAAGCTCCAAAATGACAAAAAAGCACCAAAAGAAACACAAAAAATGTGTTTTACCTGATTGCATCAAAATATATTTAAAAAAAATAATAATAAATGCATGACATGTGAACTATATTAGTAGTCAGTAAGCTATCAGATGTCTTTAGAAGACTTGGAATATAATGCAAAAGTTATATATGGAGTTTATATGGAAGAGTGGTCAGGATACTCTTTAAAGAATTAGATTTTGTGCTTGACAGAATAAAGTCATACAGGTTTGGAATAACAATGAGGGTTAATGAGTAAAAGATGACAATTTTTATTTTTATTCTTTTAGTTAATTTTTCTCTCTCTATTAACCAATTTTTGATTGTATCCACTCCACCATTTATCTGCCAAGTTTAATCTTAACACAAACTTTTTGGCAGCGTATGGCATTATTATCAGAGTTTTCTGACTCTCCAGTAGCATCTAAAAACGTCTGCAAACTCAGCCGATGAAAATACAAAAACAGTTGCAGACGCTGCCACCCACTCCGGTCCGGTCCGTCAGCGATTGTGTTCCAGCTCTGTAATTAGACTTCTGTTTGACAGCAGACAGCCAGAAAACATGGCAGCCAGACCCTTAGTCCACCAGAATTGTTTACTGTGCCTTTGTTTATACCTTTTTAATGTGGTGAGACAAATTTGGATGATAATTTTGGGCCTGACAGTCCTGGATTCCCTGGTAAACAAGTAGAAGACATTGCGCTCCCCTCCAGTCCGGTCCGGTCCGTCAGCGATTGTGTTCCAGCTCTGTAATTAGACTTCTGTTTGACAGCAGACAGCCAGAAAACATGGCAGCCAGACCCTTAGTCCACCAGAATTGTTTACTGTGCCTTTGTTTATACCTTTTTAATGTGGTGAGACAAATTTGGATGATAATTTTGGGCCTGACAGTCCTGGATTCCCTGGTAAACAACCAAGAACTAAACGTGGCCTTTGGTAATTTTTCCAGATTAAACCCTTAAAGAAGTCAAAGACATTTACTAAATTCAAATTTGGTGTGTATGGATTTTTGGGGTAATGCATTGATTTTGCTGGGATCAAACAAATCATTTGTTCGCCATTTTGAAATGCTTTGAATAATTGGGTCAAAAATTGGTAGAGATCATGGACAACATGTATTGAAGTTACCTGAGAAATTTTAAGACAGCGCCACCTTGTGTTCAGAAAAATAGGGTTTCATACAAAAACACAATCTTAAACAATAAAAGTCATTCTTTTGTTTGCTAATAAGTTGAGCAAATTACCTTTTGACTTGGCTATATGGTTCTTTTTAGAGATTAAATAATATTATAGGTTCTTCCGATTCGTTCTTTGGTTCCCTTTGGGGTTTTGGTTCTTCTACAGGCAGCTCATAAGCACTGTTTCTGTTTTCTGGCTGTATTGTGTTTGTTTCAGTGTTTAGTGAGACTCAGCAAGCATGTTGTGAGCGTTTAAAAGCATTTTTGCTCTGCAAAAACCCTATTAATGCGAGGTGCGTGTGGGCCGTGATGTGTGCTAGCAGCTTTAAAGGGGTCATATGATGCAATTTCAATTTTTCCTTTCTCTTTGGAGTGTTACAAGCTCTTGGTGCATAAAGAAGATCTGTAAAGTTGCAAAGACTAAAGTCTCAAATCCAAAGAGATATTCTTTATAAAAGTTAAGAGTCAGCCACACCTACCTAAAACGGCTCGTTCTAACACGCCCCCACATACCTACCTCACTATGTGGGAAGATTTGCATAACGCCGCCCAAATGTTCACGCAAAGAAAGAAGGCGTAACTTTTATTCTCGCTGTAGTATTGTTGTTGCCGCCGCCATGTCGTGAAGACGCTGTGTGCTTTGTTGTGAAAGCGAAACTACTTTGTTTGGTCTTCCAAAAGAGGACGATATCCGCTTCGTCATGCTTAGAGCTGATCCGTGCTGGTCGCTGAGGAAATACATCAACTTCAAATACAAGTGCTGTGGATCACCGGATCGGCTTTCACCGTTTTCACCGCTCCTTCGTCGGATCCGCCGGGACCGCCGTTCTCGATCCCGCCGCCTCAGCTCTTTTTTAACTTTAAACCGCATAAACACATTTCAT